CAACATGGCCGCCTCTACTTTATAAAGAGACTTTAGTTATTGGTGATCCATGTACTAAAACAGACTAAGGTATCAGTGAGTCTTAATGGGTTAATATATTGCCCTATCATGTGATTTAAATATGGATTTTCTAGAAGCCCAGTAACTTTCCATGAAGCACGGGGTCATCCCGAGCCTCCTCAAATAGCAGGAGATAGTTGCGGTCATTCATTCTACAAAAATTTATTGAGTACCTGCTGTTTGCTTAGCCTTGTTCCAGTGAAACCTTTTTCTGGGACAGCATGATTTCTATTGTAATTTTTTAAAAGATAACTCTTAGTATCCATAGAACACTTACTAAATGCAAGACACTGTTCTAAGTACTTACATCTATTAACTCATTTAATCCTCATAACAACCCATATGAGGTAGGTACTATTATTATCCCCATGTACAAATATGGAACCTGAGGCACAGGTTAAGTAGTTTACTCAAGGTCTCCCACCTAGCAAGTGACAGAGCTGGGATTTGAACCGGGTAGGCTGGGTCGGAGTTGGTACGCTCTGCTATCTGCTTCCAGCCTGAGGTGTTGCTGGGAGGATCCAGTGACCTAGTATGTGCCAGGCCCCTGGTGTGCGTGATGCCCCACCAGAGGGTCTGTGTGCAGTGCGTGGTAGTCGCTGTCCACTGTGGCCGTGGCCTTCTGCTAGACTCTGCAAAGGCACCATGATGACCCTGCCTGCCCTCTCTCGAGGGTCACCTGTGCCCTGGCCTGCTCCCTTTCTCTTCCGTCACTCACTTCCCAAAGGCAAAGCACTCCAGGGTGACCTGCTGTCCCACCAGCGCATACGTCTCTGCTGGGAACCGGGCCTTGATGCTGGGTGCAAAGAGCCTGGGATCTGAGGAGAGAGAGGGTTCACAGATCAGATGCAAGGGGTCTGGGTCAGGTGCTGTTATGCGAAGGTCTCAGCACAGCTTAGAGCTAACTCTGTCTTAGCTCCCTTCCCCCTTGGGTACCTGGGACAAGTGTCTGAGGTCTTGCACCAGGAGGACTCAGGGGCCCAGGCCCCGGGCTCTGTGCCCTGTGAGCTGCTCTGGGATGGAAAATCCCCTTTACTCAATGCCCACCGACCCTTTCAGTTCTCTCCTCCCGGCCATGCCCCCATCCTTGACCTTCAGCGGCCAAGTTGAGCTGAGCAAACTTGCTGAAGACGCTCTTGGTGGAGAAGTCCATGTGGCTGGTGGCCAGGCAGGAGTAGTTGCCCAGGTCCGAGGCATTGGTCCGGGCAATGTACAGGTTGCCTGTGGTCTGGGACACGAAGTGACGCCCATCCGTCGGGATGAAGTTGGGGAACTCATTGAGGAGCCAGCGGTAGGACAGGCCTAGGATGTGGGGAGTTTGAGGACGCCAGGGGGTGTTAGGCTAACGGGGCAACTCTGGATGGTTCCCCAACATGCTGGCGGGGATCTTTAGACCCTGTCCTGAGAGCTGTCCCCTCCCCCCCGAACACTCCCCACCCCCACCCCCTTTCTTGTGCTCTAAGCTAGGGCTGACGGAAGACCTAGAGGGAAGACACGACCTTATTCCTGCCTCCCAGGAGCACTGTCTGATAGGGAAACAGCCCCTCAGGGACATCCAGTCTGAAGGGGGAGGCAGGACACAGAGCTAGAAAATGACAGATCCATGAAGGAAATATGAAATCATTTGAGGTTGGGGACCACGGGATCAGTGCTTCCAAGAGTTGCTCACCACCTTTTATTCCTTCCTCTGATGAGCTGCTACGGCCCCTCCTGGGCCATCTGTATAACCATGGGCCGGGGTCCCCACTCACCTGGGTAGTGGGCAGGTGGGTTACAGGGCAACATTACCCCCCAACCTTCGTGAGTTTTCACTGGGTCTCGTTCTTCTTTGGAGAATTCCTGCAGAACTGGAGGTGAAGACCAGGTCTACTCAGGCACTGCTCTGCAAGCCTGGCTCCCCTCCCCGGCTCAGCCTCCATGGGAAGTCGTCACCTGCCCTTTCTGGACACTTCTCCCAGCCCCTTCTTCCCCTGCCCCAGAGTGCCCTGGCAACCCTTGGATCTCACAGCCAAAGCGCAGGACAGCCTCCCTGCTGACAACAGTGCCCACTGGGTTAGAGGCCAGGCACTGGTAGACGCCGGCATCCTGTGCCTTGGTGGGGTTCATGATGACCAGGTTGCCCCCCACTAGCTGGTGGCGGGAACCTGGCTCCAGCTTCATCTCGGTGCCATTCATCTTCCACCTGCAGCAGGAGCCCTCCTGAGTCCTGCCCAGCCAGACCCAGCCCAGTCACAGGACTGAGGAAAAGCTGCATGATTGCCCAGGGGCTCCCAGCACCCACCTTGCAGGGGGGTCTCACCTGTAGGTGGCTGGAGGACTGGCCCGGGCACGACATGCCAACGTCACCTTCTCCTCTGTGGACTCCTCTGGGAATAGCAGGCTAAGGGGCTGGTCTTCAAAGACAGGCCCAAAGGTGGCTTGTGATCCCGGGGCTGAGCTCTGAGCTGCAGATGGGGACACCACCAGAGACCTCAGGGCCTGGGGGCCAGCTGGAGCCTGGCCTCTGGGGCCGCGCTGTCCAACAGGACTTTCTGTGATAATGCAAAGGTTCCATTTTCTCACTGTCCAATACGGTGGCCACTAGTCACTACTGTGGAGTCCTCAAAATGCAGCTAGTGAGGCCGAGGAACCAAATTCTTAATTTTATTTAATTTTAATTAATTAAAATTTGAATTTGAATAGGTTGGGCAGGCCCCAGCTGGTCAAGTTAATTCAGTCAGTAGCCCATCCTACACTCAGATATTGAGCACTTGCTGTATACCTGGCACTGGACACTATAGACTATGTTGCGAGAATGAATAAGACAGAAACTCTTCCTCAAAGAACTTGCAGTCCAGGGAGAAAGACAGAGGACTGCCAGTACAGGTGGTAAGAGCCCTCATAGCAGTTTAGGTTCAAGGTGCAGGAGGCCCTCAGAGGGGAAGGAAGCAGGCGACAATGCCCAGGGGCTGCTGGGCAGGTCGGGGGTGGGGTGGTGGTGGTGGTGGGGAAGTAGCTGATCTGCAAGATGGGAGATGGCCCTTGACAGATGCTTGAGAAATCACTGGCCAAAAGGGTGGAGAGAGAATATCTGTCCCTGGAGCCTGATGCTCGTTCTGGGGCAGTGTGTCCCGAGAGGAAATGCCTGGGCTCTTAGCCTCTTACTAGCTGCTGTAGAGCCCCCTCCGGGCCCAGTGTCTTCACCTGTGAAGTGAGAGGAAAGCGAACTCTCCTCCCACGGTCCTTGGGAAGGTTCCACCTGGCACAAGGTGTGAGCTCAGAAAATGTCTGCTGGACCCGAGCATGGGGCGGGTGGGGACTGGGGGAGGAAAGAAGGCTTTATGGTGGGTGGATGGTGTGCAGGTTGCTTTGGGGACATTTTTATAAAATTCCAGTGTGACAATTCAAGAAAGAGAGGCCCAGAAAAGGGAATGACTTGCCCAGGATCTCAGTGCAAGTCTGCGTGCGGCACACACAGTTCTAGACCTCGGTCCCCTGAATTTGCTGAGCAAAGGGCCGTCTCACGTGCAAACGGAGTTTCAGGGCCGGCCCCTCCTAGGACAGACGCCTTTCTCCTCCAGCACCGCTGACCAGCCTCACCAGGGCAGGGACCCCCAGGCGCAGACAGTGGTGTTTCACACCTGCCTTTGCGCAGGGGTGGGATGTGGGCTCCATTTGCTGACTCATGGGGCCGGGCACGCTTTGCTTTTGTGGTGTCAGGCAGGAGCCAGGCCACCCCTAATTGGTTCCTACCCCTCAATATAGCTGATTTCAGGCCCTCCTCCTTGGTAGATCATGGGGGGAGGGGTCCCCATTAACCAATTAGTGCCTCCTCTCCCGGAGCATCCAGCTGTCAGGCCTGTTCCAGGGGTGGGGGTGGTGGGTCCCTATTCCACAGCTGAGGCCCAGCCCTGCACCCCTGGGAGTGAGGGCAGCTGTTAAGCAGCTCTCAGAATGAGGAAGGAGGCAGGACTCCCTGAAGTGGCATCGTCCATCCCACTCCCCACCACCCATCACTGCCCTTCACTGCCGCCCCAGGCCCTGGAGATGGCGGCTGGAGAGCCCAGCTTAATCCCAAGTTAATGACGGTGGTGGAGGATAGGGACCCCTGCCCCAGCTGGGACTGCTGGGAGGGGAGGGAAAGGAGAGGCGGGGTGGCAGAGGCAGCCAAGCTGCTGGGAACCGCCCTGCACAATAGCAGCTTCCAGTAATTCTGTCTGGATGGTGGGGGTGGCTGAGTGGGCCTGGGGCACACTGATGCTTTCAGACTGGCTTTCTTCCTGTAAAAGCTTTCTCCTTTGCACTCAGCCATATACACACCCTCACCCCAATATCCACAAATGCACATGTCTATATCTCTCACGTACACAGACTTCCTTACGTGCACACATATCACACATACAGACCTCTCTAGGCCGCTCCATCAGTCAGACATACACATTTGTACACACATCTGTTTCCCTGCACACACAGCTCGAATGTGCACTTATTTATTTGTATATACCCCTGCATTCATAATAAGAAGAGGTGCGACTCGCTGAGTGCTTACCCATCATCAGATGCCATGCTCCGAGTTTCCTTCTCACGAGCTCTTTACCAGATAGTTACTGCTATTTCCTTATCTGACTAATGTGGAACCTGAGATTCAGGAAGGTTAAGTAACTTGCTCCAAATCACACAGCAAGAAGGGGCAGAGAGAGGGACTTGGACCCCCACCGGCTTCACTCCGTAGCTGGCATCCTCAACCTCAGTGGCCATGCTTCTTGACCTCAGTTCCCATCAGAACCATCATACGCCGTGTTCCACCCCAGAGGTACAGAGTCAGAGTCTCCAGAAGGGAGGCCCAGAAAGCCAGCTTTTTAAAATGCCACCTGGGCATTCTGTAGGGCAGCTGAAGCTGGGAGGCGTCACACCCTGCTGTAAGGCCTTGTGCATAGATTTGACATCCCCTCAGATACGGCTCCTCTCCACGCCAGACTCGCGCTCATCTCCACCCTCTCACACATCCACAGACTCACCGTCATATTCTCTGCACACCTGCCTCCGAGGACACGCACACGCTCCCGGGCGAAGTTGCCCCCTCCTTACTGCTCTGTTCTAAATCCTCTGATTCTCCCCGATTCCCTGTCCTGGCAACTCTGCTCCCCGAACACAGGCCTCGGGAGCCTCATGGAGGAAGGGGCGAGAGAAATGTGAGCACGAAGGGGAATCCTCGCTGACGTTCCTCGCCCTGGGTCTGGCTCCAGGCAGGTGAGCAAAGAGAGTGGAGCTGAGACACCTTGCTGGGAGGGGTGGGGACGATGTTCCACTCCTGTCTCTGGAGCTCTGCAACATGGCACACCAGGTCCCCTCATCCTTGGCCTTATGCATCTCTGGGTCTAAGGACCCTGGAGGCTGCCCATGCCCCTTGCCTCGCATGACGGGGTCCCAACACTGAGCCATCCCTGAGGGAGGGCGATGCTGAGGATCCAGGCCCCTCTCTTTTGCTCTCTGGGATGGGTGTCTCCTGCTCTGTCAGCCAGGGTTCCCCAAACTAGCAGCTCCTCCAGACCAAGTGGGCCCTGGCACGGGGAACTAGGCTGGGAGGCTCCTCCCACCCTCTGAGTCCTTCCTATTTCCCAGCAGCCTCACTGACTCGGGTGCAGGATTGGGAGGCAGTTAGGACATCATGAGAACATCTGAAAGTGTGCAGTGGAGTCCTTCCCTGGTGAGACAAGAACCTAGAATGTGCTGGCTGCAGCCTTGTGAGAAGCGGGCAGGCGGAGTCCGAGGTGGCTAGAACTCCAGAAGGATGGTGGAGGGCAGGTACTCCTGCCATGGAGAGTTTTAAGGAGAAAAGGAACGTCTATTGATCTGGGCTGGGGGTCAGGGCAGAGAGGCCAAGCGGTGGTCCCAGTGGGCTGGTCAGAGTGGCAGCAGGCGGCCAGAGCGCTCGTCGGGCTGTCGGACAGGCTGGGTCTCCAGCACACTCTCCGAGTCAGCTCCCTGGGCCTCGTGACCTCTCTACGCCCCTCTCCTCTGCCAGCCCCCTCCTTCCCTCTTCCTACCTCGTAGCACCCGTGGCACAAGAGCCTCTGCTTGGGTCCCTCTCGCCTTTTGCCTGGGCCACTCTGTGCTCTGCCTCCCAGACTCTGTTCCACACTTACCCCTCTGCCAGGCTGCAGCATTGCCCTGAGGAGCTCCCCAAAGTTCTGTGGTATAGATCCGTGCCTCCTCATGGCAGGGACCCTACAGCGGTACCATCCGATAGAACCTTATGTGACAGTGGAAATGGAATCTGTGCTGTTCAATGTAGCTATTATAAGCCCTTGAAATGTGGCTTGTACAACTGAGGAACTAACTTCAAATTTTAATTTATCTTAGTTTTAATCATCCCTTGGCTATTGGCTACCATGTTGGACAATGTAGCCTAAGAAGCTTCAACTCCGGGCTGATATTGTGGAGAGTTGTTTGTGCCACAAACTTGCTGGGTGGCCCAGGGCAAGCCACTCACCCTCTCTGATCATACTTCTTCTATAATATGACAAAGACTCATTCCCTCTCCTCACCTCAAAGGGGAAAGTAAGATCCGCAAATGGGAAAATTTTAGTCAGGAAATTGCCTCAGCAACGTAAGTACTGCAGCAATGCAGAGTCAATAATTTCGGTAGTCATCACCAAAATAATAGCAATGCTATAACAGAATAACCATTCACGCTGGGCTTCAGAGACCAGACAAGCCCTCTTACCTGGACAGGAGACAAGGACCACAGCCACCAGCGGCAGCAGGTGTGACTTCCTCCGGAGCGGCCCCATGGCGGGGGTTCTGGGCAGAGTGGAGAGAAGAGGAGAAGGGCCTCAGCCCAGCCCAGGGAGAGTCCAGCGGGAGGCGGAGAAGGACCCCGGGAGGCGGGAGGACGGGGAGGGCCCCTCCCAGCTCCAGGCGTATCTGGGTCTTGCCTGAGAGAGGCCAGAACTGCTCATCACTCTTCCTCCCCAGGGCCCCCAGGGAAGGGGCTTGGCTATTAGCAAGGAGCTTTCCCGGACCAAGTGCCTCCTACTGGCCCCCTGGGAGTCTGGCTCTACCCTGTACCCCACTCCTACTCCCCGACCCTGCAGCCAGGAGGGTGCTGTTCAGGAAATGAAGTAGTGACTAATTGGGAAGCCAGGACCACCTACCTGCCTACTCACCTGTAACAGCTCTTGTCGTGGGTCTGGAAGAGAACAGGGCCTGGGTTTGGGGAACTAGTAGCATCTTCCTCCAGCAATAAGAGCCCATTCCCTCTGCCCTGTCCCGCAGCTGTCTGGATGGGGGCAATGAGCCCCTCTGGGAGCCGCGCTAAGTCTCTCAGACCCAGTCCTGTTTTTCTAGTGCGGAGGGGTTTCATTGACTCATCCACACCCTCTCACCTGGGTCCCCAGGTAAAGCACCGTGTACTGCACATGCTGGAGCCATAACCTTGGCCCCTTTAGCAATGCTCCCAACCATATGGGCTAATGGGCCCAGACAGGCCTTCTGGGCTGAAAAAATGAACGCGGCTCCCAGAGGAGCCCCCCTCTTGCAGAGAGGTGAGCAGAGACCTGGTTAAATTTTGGGAGCTCTGGAGAAACTGTTCCTTGGGGCAGGGGGTACAGAGAGCAAGTCAGAGCCCCCTCCATCAGTCTGACAGAGAGGGGCCTCCTCCTTAGAAGCAAGGGCAGGACCAGCCTTTCCACTTACGCCCCATCTCCAGGCTGATTTTCTGAGTGCTGGGGAGAGCGGGGTGTGACATCTCAGGGGCCTGCTTTTTGGTTATTTGGATGAGCCTGGGTCATTGGGCTCCCATAGCTCCCTGTCAGAGCTGTCACAGGGAGCCAGATGACCTGGCGGCAGATTCTGCTTCTCTGTCTCTCCTGCCCACCTTGCAGACACCAAAGAGCAGGGGGAGTGGGGCCGGGACTGGGGGAGAGCCTGGCTGGGGACCTTCCCACTAACTAGCTGTAAGACCCATCCATCTCTGGGCCTCGGTGTCTTCATCTGCAGAATGGGTGCTTTCTAAGGTCTCTCTCAGCTCTGAGACTGTGATGCTCCCAGAGAGTGCAGGGCCATGAGGGCCTGGGAATGCTGTCCACTGGGTGGGGGTGGGGAGGAGAAGGTAAGATGACCTAAGATTCTGCCCCGCCCCTCCCCTGGGGAGGGGGCAGTGCAGAGCCTGAAAACCCACGCAAACTCAAGCTCAGGATCTCCCTGTCTCACTTCACGCTCTGTTCCCTTGGAGAGAGAGTTCTCAAACCCTTTTAAACCTCAACATTTGATCACCCCCAACCTTTTCCTGCCTCCTCAGTAGCTGCAGCTGGCACCTGAAAAAGCTGAGGGAAAGGAGGGGAAGTGGCCCCAAGGCCCATCATGGAAGACGTAGGCTGAGAAGCTGGGTGTTGGAGGAGGGGTTGGAGTGGGGGCGTTTAAACAGAAGGCACCCCAACTCCAGCCTCACATCTACAGCCCTTTGTCAGGAACGGGGCGGGGGTGCAGGGGCCACCTCCCCATGACTACCTGCCCCTCCCCATCCTTGTCACTTTCAGTTTCAGACTTGAATACAAAAATTCAGCCCTTCTAGCCCCTGGGACATTCGCCCAACGCCCCCATCTCTGTGACTACTCATGTGACTCCCCTGTAATGCCCTTCCTAGGTGACGCACGCGCATCCTTCACGGCCTCAGCCATGTCTTACCCTGAAGATGCCCCACGTGCACAGTTAGAATCCAGCTCTGTTCTTAACTGCGCCCGTGGCGCCCTGCCCACAGGGGCGCATCTGCCTCCAGAAGGTTGTGGGCTCCCCGCCAGGGGGTGGGGGGGCGGACTGCATCTCCTCATCTTGGTACCACTTGTGCCTGGCAAAGTGCCTGGCATGTGATAGGTGTTACTCGTGTGGCACATTTGACTGTTTGAGGACAGCTGTGTTATGTGCCTCCAGGAGTCAGTGGACAGACACTGTCACACTCACTCACACAGTGGTGCTCAGTAGACAGCTCAGTGCTCCCCAAAGGCACACACACGCACTCGCAGACTCACACACCCTCACATGCTCGCTCGTAAACACGTACTCACAGACACACTCACATTCTTTCTCATACACTCACATGCACACACACACAGTCCCCCTCACACACCCTCATTCACTTTTATACGCATTCTCACAGTTCTCTCACGCACACTCACATGCACACACTCACTCTCACACACACTCAGGTCTGCAGGGTCTGCGGAGTGCTCGGTCGTGGGGCATGTGGAATCGGGCCCCGCCTCTCCGGGGCCCTGGGGCTCTGTGAACTGTCCCAGGCTCCAAGGGGTCACGATGCTGTCTTCATCTCCTAACGGCTCTGAGAGCTTGGACAAGTTATTCCCCCGCAGAGCCTCGGTTTTCTCGTGTGCAAAGTGGAGATCACAACACACTTTGCAGAGCTGTTCTGAATGTTCGGTGAGGTACCGGAGTGCCCCGCAGTGGGAGTCTTGGGGTCACGGGGGTGATGCGGGGGTGGAGAGAGGACGGGGCTCCAGACCCCTTCTCCACACCAGCCAGAGCAGCTCCACTTACATCTGATTTATCTACTGGACTTCCCTACAAAGTTCCCTTGGAACAAAGGGTTCCATGGCTCCAAAAATTTTGAAAACACCCCCTTGGTGCTGGATTGCCACACCCCAGAGTCTGGCATGAGAAGGTGCTCAATCATCGTTTGCTTCCTGCCCTTCGTCTGCCTGCCAGTCCTGGGAGCTCAGTGAAGGGGGCAGGGTGCTGGCTCGGGGAGGAGCTTGGGCTCTAGGCACTTATCCTAAGTGTGCCAGGGCAAGGTAGGGACAGATGACCAGTGGGATGGGGCGGGGCTGGAGACTCCGGGGCAGGAGTCGGCTGCTGCTCCCCAGCAGTGAGTGTGTGTGCAGGTATATGATGTTTGTGTGTATCTGTGTGTCTTGTCTATATGTCCCTGTATATATGCGAGGTCTGGTCTTTGTGTTGCTATGTATATGCACGTGTCTATGTGTGTCTGTGTATGGGTACGTCTGGTCTTTGTTGTGTGTGCCCGTGTGTGTGTGTGTGCATCCCTGCATGAGATGGGGCACAAAGACCCAGCCCCTGCTTTGTTTCCCTGTTACCTACCAGGAGCCCTGCATTCGGGATCACTCTCCTCCACCCCAGCGTGGTCAGAATTTTGTTTTCTCACTTCCCATGGGTAATTACTATTATTTCATGGATAATCCAATTTCACTCCTCCTAACCTTCAGCTTAACTCAGACCTTTATCAGTCACCACTGGGCTCAAGGGCCCTGGGCACCCCAGGGGAACAGACCTGCAGCCTCAAAGGGGACACAGGTCGGGGAGGTGTTGGGGTGCTGGGGTGGAGGAGCACCCGGAGTTGCCCTTGAGGAGCACTAGAAGTCAGCCGGATCAGATGTACACTGAGCTCCACTGTGTGCCAAAGCCTTGTGTGAACACACACACACACACATACACACACACACACACACACACGCACGCACGCACGGAGTCTAGGTCAAAGGTTGGAGATTGTCGCTTCCCGGAAGGTGAGGCACTTGTCATCTAGCCTCGCCTTGATCCACTTCCATTGCGGTATTTATTACTGTGCGCCAGGCATTGTCCTAAGTACGGGGGAGACGGTAATAAAAACTGCCTTTATGGAGCTCTCTGACTGACACCGAGGATGTGCTCATGAGCTGCATGGGCAAGCCATCTCCTCACATCATTTGGCCTATGACACATTCTTGAATGCTCAGGGTGGAGGAGGCCTTTTTGTCAGGAACAAGACCAGAGTGGAGCTATGCCAGGCCCAGAGCTGGCCGTATGAGCCCTGAGCCAGCCAAGCCTGGCCAGCTGCTCACGTACAGGGGTGCAGGCACAGGCTGGCACAGGCGGGCACAGGCTGTCACCAACGGGGGCTGGTCTTGTGAGGCACCAACACATGGGGGTGCAGGCTGCTTGGAGGTTCAGAGGCTCCAGGGGGAGCTGGCTGAATTGCTGGGTTCAGGAAACAAAGGGCCTGGGTGACGACTGGGGGAGAAAAGGCTGAGAGCTGGACTCCAGCACACGACAGGATTTGCTGGGCCAGGGCCCCCGCACAAAGCCAGTCAGAAAAAGAAAGATAGACTCCGCCTAAATGCTACACTTGGGACACCCAGCTCCTGGCCCTGAATCTGTCCGCTCCTAACCCCTGGTGGAGATGTGAGCACCGAGGGCAGCTTTTGGCTGGGTGGTAGTAGAAAAAGGGGAAGTTAGGAGTCAGCTGAGGGCAGAGACTAGGAGACACGGTGAGCCGACCAGGGCTGCCAGAGCTTCTCAGGTCCCCACCTTCTTCCATCCTACAGCACAGCACGTGGGGTGATGGGGCGGCCTCTCAACCACCAGCCTGGTGCTTACAAGTCTAGTATACTAGTACAACTCTAGTATAAGTAACCGGTATAACCCTAGTTATTACATTCATTACTTAAAGTCTCTGAGCCTCAGTCTTCCATCTGCAAAATGGGGATGGGAAGGGTAGTAGCCACCTCGAAGGACCCTTGTGAGGTCAGCACCATTCCGGGCCCACAGTAAGTGCTTGGGAAAGATTGGGTCTTGCTGAGAAGCCTCCCAACCCTTGCCCATAGGCCTTAGCACACTGAGGCACACGGACACGTGTCCACAGACACTGACTGTGCTTGGCTGTGAGTCAGGCTCATTTCTACAGTCATGACATTCGGGCTGCACTCACACGTGTTTAGGATAATGACAGATTCCCGCAATCTCCCTGGGCAGGTGCCTTCCCCATCTTATGCCTCACAGGTGCAGTGGGCCCAGGCAAGCCCCAGTAAGCAC